CCCCTGGAGGGACAAGAACCTCTGCCTGTTGTGGGAGGATATAGCTCAAGCGCTAGAGCACATGCTTAGCATGCACAAGGTCCTGAGTTCGATTCCCAGTACCTCCTCTAAAAATAAATAAATAAACAAACCTAATTACCTCCCCCCTCAAAAAACATTAATAAATAGAAAATAATAAGAACCTCTGCCTACTATTTCTCTGTATTTCTCCTGGAACCTGGCATTGTCCTTTCCACATGGTGGGGTCTTAAAATTTCAGTTGATGAAAGAGCAGAGTCAACGCCACTCTCTCTGTCACTGGTGTGTAAGTGTGTGTGGTGGGGGTGGGGGGATTGACTGGTTCTCAGCAAAAGAATGGGTCCAACTTAAATATGACAAGTTAGGCCCTAAGAGTCCCACCCAAATACCTGGAGAACCTCCAAAAATGCCACCTCCTGATATTCCCAACTCTATGTATTGATCGGCCACTTCTCCTTCCGCTCAACTTGGCAACAACTTGAGATTTAGGATTCGCAACATGCTCTTTGGATGTGGACCTCCTTGGGTGGGTCATGGGTCACAGGTCACAGTGGAAAAGGTCAGTGGCCACATGGGGCCCAGAGGGATGGTGTCCATGATGCTGACCTTAGGGTTACAATGATGATTCAGAAATCAACCCTAGAGTGGGAGCTGTTTCTAGTACAAGTCATGATTTTGTTCACTGATTCACTAGTCAAGAGGGCACTTCTCGAATAAGGTGCACCCGTTCAATGTGGTGTGTGTGCCCGTGCGGGGGTACAGTCTGGGGCAATAGCTAAGGATAGCATCAGTGGGCCCGAATTAGCAATGAAGACCAGAACCTTGGTCTCCTCAATGCAGGTGCTTGCACCTGGGCTGCCTTTCCAGATGAAAATGAATCCTTTCTAGGGGCCTTCTTGGAAGAACAGGGGCTTTTCTCAGCTTTCATTTGGGTGTACACCTCCTCTGAGACCCCGTGGTCTGGTAACTGATGTTACGGCCAAAAGAGGCCAACCCGGATGAGGTGGAAGGGCATTTCAGCTGTTTCCTGCCCAGAGTCTCCCTGCCATGGCCTCCCTCTGGCCTGGACATCAAGGAAAGGCCTACTCCCTTGGGTTTTTCATGAAGCCCGTACACGTGCTGCAAAAGCCAAGAATTAAAACGTGTCCCACTTGCCCTTTATGAATGATCAAGTCACCATGTGTGAACAGGAAAAGGAAAGCCACATTGAATGATATCCTGAAGCTACCATCCACATCCATACATGTCCTTCAAGCTGGAGCTTCTGAGAACTTTTCCACCACAAGATGCTCCTATGGGATGATGGTCAAAATTTCTTTAACGTCTCCATGTTTTGTCTTAAAGAAGCATGTGAATTTTGCATTCTGACCTATATATCTCCACTTGTTTTAGTGAAATGTTTTTTTCTCTTAAGTCTTTTAGTAAAATTGTCCCTCCAGGAACAGGCTTGTTGACAGGCAAGACAAGCTTCTACCAGCTTCAGAGACCTTACTGGAGCAGTTTGTCCTTAATCCATCTGACCCCAAATCCTGCTCTACCAGGGATTCAGGAAGGCTGGAGCAAGAACTGCTTGGTGCCCTCATGTGGCCATTGGGCTAAGGCAGCAGATCAGCCCATCTGGCAGGACATCTGCTCCCAGCCCATCTCTCAGTGTAGGAAGGCAGGCCTCGGAGTCGGTGCAGGCCCCCAAGGCCTTGGCTTGTGCACCCCACTGCACAGACATCAGCCCATCTCAGTACTGATGGTGTGAGTAGTCATTAACCTCAAGTCACTCATATAGCCGAAGCCACCCCAGGTCACCCTTGCCCCAGAACATCATGAGCCTCTGGTCCAGAAGTCACAAACTGGAGGTCCATGCTATTTGCTCACTTGGCTCTCAGAATGTTATTTTTCCCCCCTTGAACTAGTTGCCTGTATTTTAAAATTCAACTGTCAGAAGATAAAAAAAGAAAGAAAGAAAGGCATATCTCTTAGCTTCTCCTGAGAAAACAAAACAAAACAAAACAAAACAAAACAAAACAGAAGATCTGGCAACTGTGGCCCTGCCCTCTGTATGAGCTGAATTGTAGTTGCCCCTCCAGAGAACATATTCTCTGCACTTCACCACAGTCCCCACCCCTCCCTGCTGCTCACAGTCCCAGTCCCAGCCCTCTTCACTCTCTTCCATGCCCACCTGGCCCCCTGAAGAGAGCCCGAAGCCCAGAGAGGTGAAATGACCCGCCCTCGTTCAAAGAACCAGTTAGTTAAAACTGAATGGTGTGGCAACTGGCTTTAAATTTCACAGAGGCCATCTGTTTTCTGAGAAACATCATCCCATTTCTACCCCAGCTTTTCTCCAGGGAGGGAAGGGAGCTAGGAAAAGAGAGAAAATTATTGTCCTTGCTTGGCCTGAAAAAGTACATTTAAAATATCTGATACCTTCCTAATCAGACTCCAGGAAGCCCACAGACTCTTGGCTGCTATGCATCAGAGAAGGCCTTGATGGGGTACAAAACCCAGCTCCTCACAGTGTCTGCCCAGGCTTAAGGCCCCCTTACCACTGCGGATAAGGACTGGGACCCTCACATTCCTGCATTTGGGGGGACATTTTCCCAAATGTCCACCCCCCAAACTTTCCAACTGTTCTAACTTTATCAGGGGGCTGTGGTGGGACATTTGGGAACCAGAAAACAGACAGACGGACAGAAAGGACAGCAGGGTCCAGTTTATGAGTGAAACTACCCTTTGCTGGCAGAGACAGCTCTCTAACTGGCCACCCGGGGACACCTACGGGTCAGAGCTGGGCTTGGCTAAATGCCCCATTTGTTTTTGGGAAACCGTTGGTGCCGGTTAAGTCAGATTAATAAATACCTTTAGGGTTTCCTCTGACAACAGTCTCCAGAGAGGGGCACTTTGAACTTTTAGGTCATTGCGAGAATCATTAACAACTCCACCCCACCCCCACCCAGCCAGCTCAACAACCACCGACTTGACAATGAGCTTGAGCCACTGGGCCGCGGAGAGGCTATTTGCTGGTGTCGTTAACAGAGCAAGACAGACAAAACCGCCCTAGTCCCCGCCTTAGCAACGCCAAGTCTCCGTCAGAGAGGGCCTCCCTGACCACCCTCTGTCTCCAAGGCCGGGCTGCACTGCGTCAACCTCTATCACATTTCCTTTTCATCGGCGCCCTAGAAAACATCACCTCCTGACGTGATTGGATTTGTTTGCTTGTGTATTAAGGCTCCCCTGCAAGAGATTACGCATCAGGAAAGCAGGGAACGGCGCCTGCAGCCTTCTTAGCACCGCAAGCTCAGCGCATGGCAGGCCTTCCTGAAATCGGAGGCCTCTCCCAAAATTGGGGGCCTCTCCTGAGCTGCAGTGGCCGCCGAGATCTGCCGTGCAGCAGACCTGACAACTCCCAGGTCCAGACTGCTCTGGGGACAGGAACACTGTCAGACATTTTAAAAGGGGAAATGGTACAATATCTTCCCAGTCTCCTTAGGAACAATGTCCCTTCTCCCCTGGTACAGAAGTAACTGGAGAAAGAGGTTCCCAGACATGTGCCCCCCCCCGCCCAGGATTTGTGTCCACGAGCAGCAAAACCAACACAGGCACAGCACTGTTGTTCCTGACCCGGGGGCAGCATCAGGGGGCTGCTTATATTATCTTTCTGGGCTTTTGCAGTATTTTACAATAAAAGTGAATGAAAGTAATCCATTCAAACATTGAAAGGATAAAATGACAAGTAGGAGTCACCTCTAACCAACCCCCACCCCCCAACCCAGGTCTTGCTCCCAAGAGCTCACTCTACTGACAGCTTCTTTCTTCACCCTTTTTGGAAAAAGTCTGCACAGACACAAAAACATACGTATGAACTTTTTAAACACATGCGGGCATGTTGTTCTGCATCTTTCTTTTCCCCCACTTCATACCTCAGAGATCTTTCCTAAAGAGCAAATACAGACTGATTCAGAAATAAATCAACCCCAAGTTCATAGTCAGAAACGTCCCTTCTGTCTTTACTGAGCACGCAGGTGAGTGACGCCCATGGAAGAGCAGATCACACCATCCATGCGTATCTGTGACCACCAGAGCCTTGGGGCTCTTTGATAAACAGCCTGTTTGGTGTCTTTGTTTTTCCCAACAGCCACCGAGCAGCTGCAGGGCTCCCTACGTTCTCCAGCAGTGAAGCTGACCCATTGGGAACACCCATCATCCATATCCTGCCAGGTTTCCGGGTTCCCGGTCAGGCTTCCGGGTTCCAGGTCCCAGCAAACACTCTGCATCTCTTTCTGAAGCTCCAGGAGGCATCTGCCTACTTGGCTGGGCAGCAGGCTTAGTGGCTGCCTCCACACCCAGTGCAGAAGGCAGCGCAGGGCTGACAGCAACTCTGAAGAAGAAAGTCTACATTCTTTGTAAACAAGAGGAAGCTGCTACGTTGTCTTGGTGGCACTGAAGGGTGTGGGGAGGGCTTATAGCTGCCTACAGGTAAGGCTTCAGTGAGTCCAACGCTTGATAAGTAACTATTTTACCACCAGAGCTTAATAATGAGTGACCTAAGAGTGCAGGGCTGCACAGGGCCCCTCTCATTAGAGATACGGACACTGGCAAGAGAAACGCCCCCATTCCCTCCTTTCTGAGTGCCTTTTCTTTACATGTTCATCAGAGATTTAGCAAGCAGTGCTCAGACAGAGTGCTAGGCAATAGAGAAAATAGGCGGGTCCCAAGAAAGCAGGGACAGCAAATAATAGGGCAACTGCGCTTCCCCCATTGCCCTCCTGTCCCCAAACACACAGAGGCTGTGTAAAATATTTGTCGTTAACATGTCTAAGCTCAAGATGACAAAGGGTCTGCTCCAGGTGCCCAGGAATGAGGAGGAAACTCAAAGCCAAAACCGAAAGCTGAGAAGAAGCCAGGCAGGCCTGGCAGTTCAGGGACCAGATGGATCGGTCTCAGGAGACTCCAGGCTCCCAGATGAGGTAGTGGAGCTGGCAGACACTTACTTCAGAAGGTTCTCTGCTCCCGTTCTCATCCGCATGGCTTTCAGGATCTGCTGGTTCAAGGCAGCTCTCTGATTCTGCAGTCTGCTCCGGCCAGTTTGGGCAAGGGGATTGCAACCCTAAGGGAAAACAAGAGAGGCCCCCCTTCAGAGGTCAGCCACTCTAAAAATGATAACAACACATCATACAACAGAAAATGTGTTAAAAACCCATCCTTTCTGAAAATAAATATAATAACATCAACATGGAAAAATATAAAATACTGAAAAGTATAAAAAAGTCATTCATCATAACATCACTCCAAAAACAGCCACTGTGAATTGGTTTTTTTCCCGCCCACCTACTTTATATATGCTTATTGTTACTTTCTACATTAGAGGCTGTGTTGGGAGTTCCCCAGTCCAGCCCCATGTTTGGAGTTTCACAGGACACAGCATATAGGCTGCACTCATGGCTCAGATTTACGATAGCGGTTTAGTAAGGACACATAGCTGGATCATAGGGGGAAAGACAGAGGCAGAGTCTGGAGGAATCCATGTTCATACTTCCTTACACTTTCTCCCTCCAAGGAAGGGTCACACAAACACACTCTTCCCCCAGCAACAAAAATGCAGCAACACGTATGTCACTGCCCAGGTTGGCCCATTAGAAAATAAAATTCAGAATTTTCCTGAGGGACTGATCACCAAGGTACCCTCTGCCTAGTATGTTCCAAAATTCTAGGCTCCCAGAAGGAAAGCAGGTGTTTGCTGTAAACGATATGGTGTTCACTGTCAGTCCAGGACCAGCAAGCCGACTTTATCACTTAGGGGATGGAGGGAACGCTCCAAGAGCCAGGTTCCCAGATGCCAGGCAGAGGCCTAACTTGCAAGCAGGTCTTCCTAAGGAAAGCAGCCTTAGAATCGCTATGGTACCCTTTATCTGCACAGTGGCACATAGACTATCATGTTTTCTCACTTGACACTCTAGCATGAAAATTTCCTTTATTAGGAAATGTTTCTCAAAACCATGATTTTAATAATCACAAAATATTGCCCATTTCCTTGTTGTTGGACAGTTAGATTGTTTCCAAGTATCTGTTCTTATCTATAATTATTTGATGCATATTTGTAAACACGAATCTTTATAAACCTCAAATTTTTCCTTTAAGGTAAAAGGGCTGAATTCCAGGGAGTCTAACCTCTTTAAGAGCCCCCACATACCATTCCAATTATCCTCTAGGAAAGAAAGCCACTCTATTCCCTGTCCAATCTCCCCGCTAGCCTTAGGCAACCACAAATCCACTTTCTGTCTGTATAGACTTGCTTATTCTGGACATTTCATATAAATGGAATTGTAGAAAAATGCAGTCTTTTGTGATTGACTTCCTTTACCTAGCGTAATGTTCTCAAGGTTCATCCATGGGCTAGCATGAACCAGTACTTCACCCATTTTTGTCCGTAATACTCCATCACACATTTATTTATCCAGTTGAAGGACATTTGGATTTTTTTTGCTTTTTTCTTCACATTTTGGCATTTACGAAAAGGGCTGCTAATTTGTACGCGGAAGTTTTTATGTGGATGTATGTTCTCCTTTCTCTTGAGTATCTATCTAGGAGTGGAACTACTGTGTCATATAGTTCATTCTATGTTTAGCCATTTGAGGAAGTGTTCAACTATTTTCAAAGCAGCTGTCCTAGTTTACATTCCCACCAACAATACACAAGGGTTGCAATTTACCTCTGTCCTCACCACTACTTGTTATGGTCTGTCTTTCTTATTATAGCCAACCTAGGGTGTGTGGCATCTCACTGTGGGTTTTGTTGTTGTTGTTGTTATTCATCTCACTGTGGTTTTGATTTTTATTTCCCTGATGGTTAATGAAGTTGAACCTCTTTTCACGTGCTTGTTTTGTATATCTTTTGAATAGCGAGAAAGATCAATTCAGAGTCCTTGCCCATTTTGAAACTGGGCTGTCCTTTTATTGTTGAGCTTAAACGTTTTTTTTTTAATTTTTTTTTTTTAGTTTTTGGTGGGGGTAACTGGGTATATTTATTTATTTATTTTTTAATGGAGATACTGAGGATTAAACCCCGGACCTTGTGCATGCTAAGCAGATGCTCTACCACTGAGCTACACCCTCCTCCCACAAGCTATTACTTTTAAATCTCTGCCAAATTGATATGCAAAAAACAGATATCCCATTCTTCAACAGATATCCCATTCTTCCAATTTGCATTTATTATTAGTGAAGGTAAACATTTTTTTTCATATGTTATTGATCACTTGAATTTCTTTTTCAGTGAATACTGTGTTCTCTTTCCATTATTTCCTGGTGCATTTAGATTATAATGCTTCATTTTGAAAAGTTCAAGATCAGAATAAGAGTATCCTTTTATTTTTCAATTGAAGTATAGTTGATTTACAATATTGTGTTAGTTTCAGGTATACAACAAAGTAATTCAAAAAGTTCCCTTTTAACCTGATAGCATTCTTCCTACCCCAGCAGGTAGGAGCCCAGGAATCTGAGTGAAGGTTCCATTCCTTTTTGAAGCTTATCTTGAGGTACTGCCCACGACAGGGCTTGTATTCACATCCTGGGTGTGGCTGGTGGGCAGTATTTGGTGAGGGGACTGCCCTTTCTCTCCAGCTGCGTCACTGCCTTCATCTCTACCATCACAGCTATACACACACCTGGCCTCCCACACCTCTGCCCAAGCCACGCCCATGACCTCAACCCCAACCCCAAGGAGAAAGAAATGGGTTATCTACAGCCCCTGGTTTCTCTGAAATTTTCCCGTATCAGTGCCCTTCGGACTAGAAATCTGGTCAGAAATGAGTCACATTTCTTCCAGAGATCTCATTCTCACATCCCAGCAGGCTGCCTCAGAAAACCAATTCTCTTTTTTCATACAATGGAATACTACTCAGCCATAAAAAAGAATAAAATAATTCCATTTGCAGCAACATGGATGGACCTGGAGATTGTCATTCTATGTGAAGTGGGCAGGAAAGAGAAAGAAAAATGCCATATAATATCACTTATATGTGGAATCTAAAAAAAGAGGACACAAATGAACAACTTATAACTTAGATGATTGATTTCTTAAATATGTGTAAGCACATTTGACTGTTCTTTAAGATTGGATTACTGCATTCTGTTGATTCTTATTTTGTGATTGGCTTTATTCCTTTGATAACTATGTAAGTTTAAAAAGCTAAATCTCTAAACTGTTCTTAGAAACAATGAACAGTACATATATGTAAATTTAAAAATACATATTCAGTATATTGTATATTTGTATTTACATGCAATATATTGTATATGTGCAGTCAAACTGTAACAATTCTACCTCATAAAACTGAAAAATGAAAAACAAAACTAATTCTCTTTTTTCAGATGTAAGATTAAAATGTCTTTAATATTAAGGTAACTTAAACTTAAAGGGCTAAAATAATTGCCAGCCCCTCTCCTTTTCACTTCCTGAAATTACCATGAAGTGATGGCTCAATCTGACTTAAAATTACATGGTTCACCAAAGCTGTGTTCTATTTCACAGAGAGGCCTTAATAACTAATTCCTTTACGTACATTCCCAGAGCTGAGATAAAGCAGCCATTCCAGCTTACGGATGATAACTTTTTCCTGCTCCCATACTTCACCCAACTTCTGGCTGGTCTACAATTGCAACACCCTAACTAGCCCACAGATGTGGGGTCAAGTATCTAGATAAGACATAGGAATGCTCAGGATTAGATCTGACTGAGTAATTGGACCCCAAACTACATTACTTCTTACTGACAGGTAGGAATGCTGGGCCTGCTGGAAACACCCAAAACGCCCACAGGGCTGTTTGAAAACTTCCCGGAGCCCTGAGAGATGAATCTGGGTGAGACTACCAGAAAGGAGCCCTGGTATCATCTGAGGCTGCTAGCTGTCCACTGGCACCTGCCAGGGGTTCTGTGCTGGTGAGGCCCTGCAGCCCGCAGCCATGCCTCAGTTCTTAAACGGTTCACATTTAAGATGTAGAGCTGCTCCAAAACTGGACTGAGGGTTTGTTCCCAGGACCTAGGCAGCACTCATCATGCCTGCCTGGCCTGGGAACTGGGAAGGGATGATGTAGGAGTGGCAGGAACAAATGAGCTGTCCTGGCCTCTAGGGTCACTGTCCACAAGTCCTACAGTGAAGTTGAGTCTGTCCACTACTCGGAAACTGCCGGTTCCTTGATCAGACTAAGGTCTGGGCATGGGGACCCGTCTCCATATGTGGAAGGATGGTCCAGCTGCCAACACCCGAGAAAAGCAGGCACAGAGTGAAAGCTCAGTTTGCTCCCTAGCTTAGTGGGATCTCCCATGTGTCAGACTGCCCACGTGGACTCTGGTATGCATCTCGGATCCCACAGTTCTGAAGCTTGGAGGCTAAATGAGCGACCTAGGATGCTAGAGGCACTAAGGGTGGCAGTGGGATTTGAGCCCATGTCCTTCCTGCCACTCTGAGATGAGCCTGAGCAGCAGGAATGTGTGGGAATGCTGGGACAGCTCACCTGTCAACCCCCACACGCCCTTTACATGCTTTCTGGCTGAGGGCTGTCCAGCATCACTGCACATCTTTTAACCACCATGACCCATGTCCCACTCTCCCACCTCGCAGCCCATAATGTTCAGGGGTGGTAAACCATGCTCCCACACCTCCTTTCCAAGGGGAAGAACATCTGACCCACGCCCAGCCGGTAAGAAAATCAAAGGCCTCAGGCCTGAGATCAATTAGGGTGAGCACCTGCCATAGAACAACCAGAGCCCATCAGGAAGGGGCCTTCATTTTACCCCATCGGTCTTGAACCCAGGGGGATGTGAGACTGGGCAGCTACAGCCACATGACCACAGCGGGGAAGTGTCTCCCCCAAAATGAAGCCAATCCAGTAGGGAGCAGAGCTAAAGAACTGAGTCTTGGTGGGTGGTAGTATACGAGCCCTGGATCAAGCCAGACCTGAAGCCATTCCTTAGGACTTCTCAGTTACAGGAGCCAAATGCATTCCCTTTCTTGCTTAAGCCATTTTTAAAAATTGGTATCATATGGTATCTGTTCTACTGTGTCAGGCTTGTTTTCCTCAATAATATGCGTTGAGATTCACCCATGTTGTTGTACTTATCAGCGGTTTGCTCCTTT